CTGAGATATAACCGAATAACTGAAAAAGTGCACACATTTTTCAAGATGGCGGAGTTAGCTCTACAGGTACAGGTGGTGACTTTTTTTTGGTTGAAAGTCATGCCAAAGGGAACATGTACACCAATTTTCAAAACTTTGGCTTCGATTCCCGCTATTCGTCAAATTTGATACTAAGGTGATTGGGCTATCATGTGTCTGTGTCTTAGTTCTATATTTCTATGTTTTTATTTATTGACTCATTGTATTTTATTGTAGATTCAACTGTAATGAAGAGCACTGTGCTAATAAAGTTTGACATATACAACAAATGCGTGTTTTTTAGTGCTTTTCTATTTTTTGTAACTACCGTCCCGCAGCGAAAGTGGTCATTTTGTTCGCCTGTTACCTTCCTTGGTTTTTATAACCGTTTATCAGGTTCCCTCTCCGGAAAGGATAATGGAACAAAACTATTAAATGATGCTATTGTTATATAGTGTAGACACTGAAAAATTGTAAAGTTATTCGGAGGAAAACAAAAATAACATTTGAAGTTTTGGTGAAGGAACATTTTCAAATTTTTGTTGCGGTAGATCATTCACCATTTTATTCGATCAAAAAAATCGCTCATCCCGAAGATCCTGACCAGGATAATGGAACAAAACTATTGAATGATGCTATTGTTATATAGTGTAGACACTGAAAAATTGTAAAGTTATTCAAAGGAATAAAAAAATAACATTCGAAGTTTTGGTGAAGGAACATTTTGAAATTTTTGATACGGTAGATCATTCACCATTTAATTCGATCAAAAAAATCGCTCATCCTGAAGATCCTGACCAGGATAATGGAACCAAACTATGAATGATACTATCGTTATCGGTTTTTGATGAGTATGCGAAGTTCCAATTCAATTTGACGTTTTGAAGTGGGTCAAAATCTAACACACAAACTTACATACCAAGCTGATAAAAGCGAGGTAGTAAAAATCATAAAATTTGGTACATCGCATAAACTTTTAATGCTCAATCACGATTCGAGGTTGACAACGAAAGGATGTGCTGACTGGGCTTGTCTAGTTCGTCTGATTGGTATTGCTAGTGAAGGGATGATAGCAGAGATTTCCGAAGAACATTTTCCGTGGAAGTATCGATAGAAAAGTGAAAGGTCGCCGACCTTTCTACGGTGTTCCAATGATGTCAAAGAGTGAGTGAGTGTGGCGTCACCCACCAGGCGAATGGCTCTTCTTGACAGGGTAACGCGTAAAAACAATCCCATTTTTTCAAGTTATTTTTTTCTTCACATTCTTATTTCATAATATGATATGATGAGAAATTATTGAGTTGAATCAACCAAAATCATATGAAAATGAGCCTACCTAGTTCAATAGTTATATCAACCAACGAAAAATGGTTAAAAACGTCAAGTCGTCATACAAATTGAATTGTTGTTTGATCTTGTTGTTTCTTGTTTAATCCCACAACAAAATGAGTGGTATCTTTACCATTATTTCTGTCGGGAGAGGTGACAGAACTTACAGTCACAACTCCACAACATAAACAATTCAATAATGACCAACGATCATGGACAGAAGGACATGTTTAGAAGGATAAATCCTACATCATCAGCAAATTTATAAAAAGAAAATCTTCAAGAAGAAAATCTTTAAGAAGAAACAACGCTTATGTTAGTTTTGAAGTATTGATTACAAAAACTAAATGTACCTACCATTATTGGTGGAAAAAGATTTCTTAATAAATGACGTGGAAAAACTATTGCGGGTGGGTAACTGTTGGGAACCATGATATAAGAGCTCTACAAGAGCTTAGTTTTCAAATATTAAATTTAACCAACATGTGGGCCTGAATTTGTTGAATTAGGTTAACCAATCACAAATGACAATTGATGACAATGACGCTGAGGACAAAACACAACATGAGAATGACACCAGTTGCAAGTCAAAACCAAGGGATGTTTTGATTCGAAGTGACATAGAACACAGAACAAAATTGTAGTTGAAATAACAAGGAGTTGAATAATTTAAGACATATCGAATTGAGTTTGTTCATTGAGGCAGTTGAGGTTAGAGTTTTTGACAGCTTTATTAATCTCCAGAGTTTCAGAAGGTCAAGTTTTTTCCCATGTCACAGATATGTAAAATTTCTATGTTAGAGTTGAGATCAAAAGAGTATTGGTCATTGATAATATGGTTAGGAAAAACAGAATTGGACTCAAAAAAATCATTTTCAAAATTATTTTCTATAATACGATTGTGTTCTGATACTCTGGTTTTGAACTTGCGACCTGTTTGGCCAATGTAGCACACTTTTCAATCATCATTTTTACAATTCAATTTATAAACACCAGATTCTTCCAGAATATCGATCTTGTCTTTTGTGTTAACTAAGGCACTCCCTATAGAGTATTGGCGGCTTTGAAAGAAAAATTAAAATTACTGGTATTATGTATTGAGTTTTTTTCCCAGAATCTTCCTGAGTTCAAGGAAAACAGATCCAAACAAAGAAAGAGAAAAATATTTGGATGTTGAGACAGATCTTGTTAAAAAGTTATTTGAACATTTATCGGTATATTTCAAGTAAAGTCGATCAATTAAATGAATAGGAAAATTATTGTTAACTGCGATGATATTCAATTCAGCTGTAGAGTTCTCATTGTTCAAGAGTATTGTGAAAAGTCTATGAAAAAGTGCATGAAAAGTTGAAAATTTCTGGCTGTAGGGGTGCTTGTTGGTTTTCTATGAATTGAAAAGTTGAAAGAATTCGTTTTGTGTATCAAGATATCAAGAGAAGGTAACTAATTATTAGATTCAATTTCCATTGTGAATTTTATTCTAGGATTAATAGAATTCAAAAAGGAAAGAAAATCGTTGAGTTCAAGTAGGGTACCTTTAAAGAGAGCAATAAATAATATCATCAACATATCGGTGCCAAAAAATAACTTTACCAAAGTTAGGGTGCTGAGAAATGACAAGCAGCTAGATCTAGGTATTTTTTCTACATCTTCCTTGAGCTTCAGAACGCGATTGAAGGCAATTTATTATGTTCGGAATTCATCGATAATGTTTTTTTTGTCTTTATCTTTGTTCTTTCTCTTTTTATAATATTCTCCTATTAATATATTCTTTTCATTAATTGGTGCTTTGAGTAATTTAGTATCATCACTATCATGTATAAAGAATATATTTCGAGTTTTTTTCCTATGTATACATCTGACCTCGCATCTGACTTAATACAATATCATTCAGCTTTTGTTTACATTCATTTTGTGCTATGTAACTATTAGAAATGAGAGTTATAGATACTATACTAAGTCCTTATCGAAGCTCACAACATGTATATTTCATTTTCGAAGTTTGTCAAATTTCACAACTACTTATTTATTATATTGTTCTAATTGGTGCTTCGCTGTAACTGGCTGGGTAAAACTATCTGTTGAGTAGTCTATCCATGTATATAAATTAATAAATAAATAAATAAATCATGTTTGTTTTTGTAGAAACGAGGAGAGACAAACTAAAAAAATAATGAATATTTTCAATCGAACTTTCAGACAGTGAACAGACGGTTTTCATAACGAAAATTACCATTAACGTCAATATCTTATTAACGAAAAAATTCAAATCCTGTCGAAAATATCAATTTATGTAATTTGTCATTTTGTAATACCACTAGTAATTATATTTAGCTGGAGATAATTTGCGATTGTTAAGCTTGTTGCCTAGTAATTTCGCAAATGACATCCGACATCGTTCATCAAAACTATCGAGCCGTTGGCGAGAAGGTTTGGAACAACGACATGAGCGAAATTGAAGCAGCAAGCTGGAGTAGGTATGTCAATCAACAAAGATTTCCACAAAAAATAGTATAACGAGTTATATTCGTATGACTTTTTCATGAGGCCTTGAAAACTTTGCCATTAAAATTAAATAATAATTATAATTGACTTTAAAAGTTATTATCACTGGAAAAGGAGGTTGGTTGGTCACGTGTGGGTCGGTTCGGCGTCCAAGTAAACAAAAAAATTACGCTGTAATACAGAAAGATGGCAGATAACGTGAAAATGAGCGATTCTGATTGGTTCTCGAAAACAAGAATAGTCAGCAAAAAAGGGAGTTCAGCAATATGGGTTTTGGTACATATTTTTTAATGTTACCAATCATACTCATAGTCGGAATTTATTTGCAGTATTGAAAATGTGTGATGGATAGTAGAGAAAAACTGAGTTCTCTTTGAAAACATAAGAATGATGCGCTTACTTAGCATGTCAAACATTAATTATTGGTTTTATTGTTGTTCTTATTGAGGATAAAAAGGTTGTTTATCTCAATAGGAATAAATATTTTTTCGAAATGTCTTCTCTTTGGAAGGTATAATAAGTATCTTTGAATCCACACCCACGGTGTTTTATTCGAAAACCAAAAGTTAAATGTAACTGTGAGCGAGAATCTAGTCTTACTCATCCATCAATATTGTACTGTCAAAAAATACATATATGAGATATCATATTCAATGAGAAAAGCACAAAGTCATCTCCACGACTTTTTAATTTGAAAACATCAAATTATTAACATGTTTCGGAAACATGCAATGTCCATCTTCACCCGATGCTTGGAAGTCCGACAACCGACAACAACAAGGAGATACATCATAATATGAAGAAAACATTTTTAAATGGATAGTACTCACATGGAAATGAAAAGGTTATGTTACATTTGGAAATTATTGATAAAAAACGGTCTTTTCACATTATGATGTATCTCCTTGTATTGTAGGACTTCTTAGCATAGGCTGAAGATGGGCATCGCATATTTCCGAAACATATATGTTCCTAATTTGATGTTTTCAAATTAAAAGAGTCGTGGAGATGACTTCGTGCTTTTCTCATTGAATATGAACCCTATCACTCCACTTTGAGGTACAATGGACTTCTACCAATATATATATATACGTACGTGATTGATCTCAAAGCGCCATGATCGAGTTGCCTCCCCCTCTATCATTCACGTTGTTCGTGGACGCCGTCTTCTCGGTGCTCTCGGCCTCACCCTGGACGCATCCCTGAAAACGCATTTTCGCATCATCCCCCACCACTACAGTGCGCTGGCACAAAATCAAAGTGAGACAAGACACGATGAAAAGCACCGAAGGAAGAACAGAAGCCACGACGAACTGCCTGGTCGCCATAGCTAAATTGAATCGAGCCACGACTATCCCCGGATTGTCCACCGAGTAGAAGCAAGGAAAACGAGCCCTGGCGTTGTGGTCCGTACCGTCTTTCCCGTAGATCTTCAGGAACTCCTTGCACTCGTCCCTGAGCGTGTTCACACATCCTTCGAGGTTAATCAGCAGCTTGCTCTCGTTGGCGATCAGTAACTCCGGCTCAGGCGGAGCTACAATCTGCCGCTCGTCCAGCGGCACGGTGTTGAACACGCTCAGGTAGCTCAGGTAAGTGAAGTTGGCCATGTCGCTCAGGATGTTGTTCGCCAACAGACTCCCGTTCACGCAGTCGGAAGCCTCCAGGCCTCTGCTGGTGTTCAGGATGGTGTGGCACGACGCCATTATGATGTTATCTTGAGACTCGTTCCATACTTCTTCCCCCGTGTCGCTGTCTATGCACCGCTGGCACTCGGACAGGTACACTTCGTCCCCGCTGAGCATAATGACGTTTTTGTGTCGCGTGGGGATGTCTCCGCACTGACGGTCGCAGTTATAAGGGGTGCGGATACGCTCGCACGTGCCTCGATTGCAGCTGTACAAACCGTGCAGGTCGATGCAGGTTATCTTCCCCCTTCTCCCTGAGCACTTCAGCGGCGGGTCCGTGTCCTTGTAGATGCACTCGAAGGAGTCGGTGATGTCGATGCACATCCCCATCGAGCAGTTGAAAGTGCCCGTCAGGTTCTTGCACTCGTCCGCTATGCACCTGTTCTTCTTCGCGTTCTCCTGGTCCTTGCCGTAGCAGAACTTCTGCGCTATGTTGGTGCAGTTGGCTAGGAGAAGGTTCGAGCCGTTCCGGCGCAGGTTTACGTAGATCTGCATGCAGGAGCCGGAGGTCTTGCTCAGGCACCATTCGCCGCAGGAACCCCAGTCACAGGTGTCCACGGTGACTCCTCTGGTGGTCGTGCACATCACTGGCGTTTCCGATATGCCCGATTGCATGGCTCGGGTGGAGGGGACGTAGATCGCTACGGTGAGGTACACGATGGCGACGCTACTGAGGACCAGGGTCATCTGACAGAGGCATATCGTGCCGCAGATTTTCGCGTCTTGCGGCGGGATGATCAGGTCCTCGACGGGGGTCGGCTTCTTCTTGGGCATCTCGATGGCGGGGCTCTCGGTCAGCAAGAGTTTCGGGGGTGCAGGGACGCCATTCCAGATAGGTGGACGACAGAGAACTGAACGGGGTCTGGCGGAAGGGTGAGGAATAGCGCGCGATCAATATCCCACTGCGGCGAGACTAATATTAGCACGCGCACTGGCTCGGCATTATATGAACACTGTAATCATGCGGGTTTTTTCCGGTGGGGTAGACTTTCGAATGGGGAAAAGTATGGCCTGGTGTGAGATGAAGAAGATGTGAGTGAAAATTAATTGTTTAATACTTACGCGGTGGATCCTGGAGGGCTTATGGAAAGTGGCGGAGAGCGAAGTGACAAGTGGCTCCTCCATCTGACAGCAGTCGGCGGCTAGATCAATACCGTAAACACGGACTGCAGTGCTCACCACGCAATGCCTGCCGAAGGCATCCCTAACATGAATTCCGTTGGTCCGCAGGTGGTGTGAAAACTAATTACTTCTAAAATCGTAACGACTGTGATTAACTGTTTAAGTGTTTTACTCGATGCCTATTTTGATATTTGAATCTCGTTCACGTTTGAATATGTACATGCCCTAGTTGATAGTAATATGTGCTCGCCGAGAGGATACCTGGTACCGAAGCAGATAGCCCGCGACCATGGAGAGCGATGAGGTTAAACAAACATGGAAACAGAAACTACTATTTTATACTACAGCTTTCTTCGTGCTGCTCGGCATCTTCAGCTTGTTCTCGTTTTTATTCCTCGTGCCTTTTGTCATCGATCCGGCTTTCACCACCATATTCATGGAGTTCGACGAAGAGCCCGCTCAATGTGTGACCTTGAGAACGGACAGACGCCTCGGCGCTTCTAACTGCAGCTGGACCTCCTGCAGGGAGGGCTGCACCAAGGACATCTACGACTGCACGCAAATCTTCGTCAACTATAGAATACCGTCTAGCAACGTTACCATCGAGCCGCAGCGGGAGAAGAGGTCCCTCCTGGACGACTACGATTACGACGCCACGCTCGAGGATGATCTTCAATGGTCCTTCAGGGAAGCGAGGCTCTTGCCGAACGTCAAAGGCTGCGGCTACCCTCCTATGCTCAACTGTTCCATCTTCTTGAAAACGTACAAGGAAATTGGAACGAACTTCTCGTGCTACTATAGCAAAATAGACCCGAGCATGGTGATCAGCCACCTGAGCATGTGGCAGGTCTACATGAACCTGGTGTATGCCTTGGCCATACCGATCCCTTCGTTCATTTTATCGGTAGTGTACTTGGCGATCGCGTACTTCAAGATCTACAATGAGGACGAGGAGGCAGCCCCGTTGGAGAAGAACGCCGAAGACATCGACTTCGCGGGGGGAAACGGTGCTGGAGACACCCCCTTGCCTCCGGCTAGCGGGGGGTTGACTCCGGCTAGTGAGGCTTTCAGAGAGGACCTGGCCAGCTTCGGGCACCATTTCAAGGTCGCCATGGTGGATGATATCAGTCGGGACAGTCTCGTGGATGGGGTGGTTGGTTCCGTCTCGGTTGGAGGGTGAGTGCGAGCTCGTAGGGAACTGGTACGGTTATCGCATGTCACAGTAAGATCGGGAACGATCTAATGACAGAACATTATTTTTTTATTGATGCACAACTTTCTGGAATTTAGAATATCAACTTATTGGTTTAAAAACCTATCATTTTGCCCGTTCCTCAAAAAATGATTCTCGAAATCACAATCACAATCACAATCAAATCCACAACAATGATGTTTATACCTGGAAGAACTATACAGGGTGTTTCACATTTGAATGTACATACGATACCTGATGTGTCTACAGTCTTTTATAACTGAGATATAGGACGTTATGTTGATTTTGTCAAAATCTTCATCTGGTCATGACTTTTGAACCAGTTTGTATAATCTATCCATACTTGCTAGGAATATTGCACTCATATTACCCATCAAAACTGAATGGAAATCGGAATTAGAATCCAGGTCCTTGAGGAAAAACAGATTTTTTTTTATTTCAAAAACAACACTTTGCATGACAAACTTTTTTAGATCTGTCTCGATATTTGGAAAGAGCAGGGAAAAATTGATAAAGTGATCAACTTTAACCGAGCACGCATCCGATTTCACAGATGTTTTGTTGTTATTACTCACCTCCACTTTGAGGCATTTTTATTGAATTCTTAATTCAAAATTTTTTGTTTTACAAAGAAAATAACAGTCTTTCAGGGCACATTTTATTATTCACTATTAATTCATGAGCTGCTGTAAAGTAGGCTGTGCAAAAAATTCTGATATTCTGACAGTTCCTAATAACTAGTGTGATATTACTGGCAACGTCAAGATAATTGTTGGTGCTTGTATTGGGTTGTTACAATCTTTCCAAAGTGTTCATAATTATGCCTCAACACAATAACCTCAACGTTATCAATAATATCACACTAGTGATAATGAACATTTTAAAATTCTTGCACAGTCTACTTTACCTCAGCTCATGAATAAATACTGATGAATAAAATGAGTCCTCGAAAATTTTTGAAATCACTGACAAGTTATTCTGTCAACTGAAATTCATTGCCTGGGCGAAGGATTTCCAAAAGGACAATAATAATCTCCAAATGTTCAAAAAAAAATTCCAACACCTACCTCCTCTCCCTATCCTCCCTGGGTACGCACGATGCTCTTTGAACATTATAGGGATTCCCTTTCGTGCGCACCAAGCGATGAAAAAAGTACAAATCTATCGATAGTTCACCTAATTTGACTCTAATGATGTTGAACTATGAAGACTGTTTTGTTTGTATTGAAACTAGATTTTGAATCATGAGTTGAATAAAAATACCTCGAAATGGTGCTGAATATTTCAAAACATAACAATAAACCATCTGTCAAATTGGATGCGCCCTCGTAAAAAGTATATCACCTTATTGATTTGTTACCTCTACTTCCAAATTTCAAAACAGATCCACAAAATTCAGCCATAGTTCCGATGCGTAATATAAGTGGAATATTTGTACCAGGTATGAATGGATCATACAAAGTGACAAAAGAAACATCAATGGAGGGTAATTTGAAACCATAGAAGTGTACTCTATACGCAAGTATCGTATGTACAGTGCGGCCCAAATAAATCGTAACTACTCTTGGTGGAATTCTAATAAATTTGTCTGAGCACATGTACTATTCATTACTTAGAAACGAACTGTGTCCCTATGCCCTATTAGCATTTCATGACCTGCTTCGCAGTGTGAATATATAATAGTATTATAGGGTATCCTCAGAGGTGTTATAATAAGTATTCGAACAGATTTTTTGTCATGTTTTTTAATGTATGCAACTTTCGAGTAATGATTTTCGTGGGTTTTCAAGTTATCTTATATACAATTATCAATTTTTGCTCGAGCTTCACCAATCAAATTTGAATTTGCAACTAGAATTGAAGATTTCGAAAGATCAGTAAATGTATGAAATTATAAAAATATCACAATGTCTTGACAAATCGAGAGAGACTAATGAATGAGATGAAAATTGGATCATAATTCTTACTTCATGTCCTACAAAGGCTGAATTATGTGTAAACCAATGAAATTTGGATATACCACAAAGGACCCCGCACTTTCCTTATGGAAAATGGCTTTATGTTAAATTCCCTGATTTTCTGTTTTGATGTAGATTTCGACTTCCTAAGCGAAAGTGTCCATGGGCACAAATAAATCGGCTGACTAGTTTTCGAGATACAGGGTGTCAAACATGAAAAGTTAAGCTTTCTGCTCAGAATTTTTAACAACTACGAGAATTGACAAAACGCCCATCTATTCATGGAATAAAATGTCTGAATGATGGTACAATATCATCTAGATCTCGTATCCATTATAATTTCACGTTTTTGGCTCTACAACAGGGTGAACAAAGAAAAATCCAATTCGATTAATTTTAAACCAACCAGGGTAAGTTCTTTGATGATAATTAAAGATTCAATTGAGCCTGGACGAACTACTTCAATCTCGATCGAAGTTTACTGACTTTTTTTTAAATACAGGATGGTTTGAAAATAGGGTAAGTCAGTCCCTACTTTTTTGAATCGGAAGGGGGAGAGCATGTCGGAATCTACATCATACCAAAAATTCAGGGAATTTAACCGAAAGCAATTTTTTATAAGGAAAGTGCGGGGTCCGTTCTATCAATTAGAGTTAAGCCTTTCGAGAGATTGTTCTACAGGTGTTTGTTAATTTCCAAGAAGTATCAAGCGACAGGTATTATTTCTTCACTATGTAGGCAAGTTACGTTGTAGAATGAAGATCATTCATTGTTTTGGAGTATTAGTATGCATATTTCTTCGAATAAAAACTGAGAACCAAGAATTCGCACCAAAATTAATCCATGGACATAAAATGCAATTTACCAGCAACAATTATCTGAGTCCAGTCGAAATCCCCTTCCAAGATTTTGGACTGTTATTGCGTTTTTTTCGAAAACGGATGAAAATATCATAAATAATAGCCTAGTAGCTGATTTTGAAATTTTACTCCTATATGAGAAAATCATTGTGAGAATATTAATACCGGGTGATTGATCAGTGTAATAAAGTTCAGTATCACCTATGTTGTTCGAGATATGAAATTGTGAATTTAGGAGATTTTAGCAACGGATAGGCTTGGAATTCTAAATCTTCCACAATATTACAGGGTAAGCTGTGCTGAATCGAAGTAATATTTCTGTAAACATAGGACATAGGATATACTGAACTCAATCACACTAATCAATCACCCTGTATTTTAAATTTATCTGCACGGAATATCGAAGCTCGTATAGTTATTATTATATTAAAAATTAGGATTTCTGGAAATAGATGATCGCGTTTCAAAATTATAGGGTGTCTGGTGTATACCGTTTTGTGATCGCACGTGCTGACGAGAATTAATTCTTAGGTATGTCAAAAATTGGAAAACCATTGAATTCAGAGTAAAATATCTATTAAGAACGATTAAGGAAGATGATTTCATGGGGAAAATAATTGGAGGATATACTAACGTCAAACTTTGATACGAAAAAGAAACAGAATAATACTCGATACCTTCCGCTTTATATTATCAAGAAGTTCTTAATCTAGATCCTTGATCAGATTTTTTTTCAGTCAGATTCATTAGATGAAGCTGATAATATTACTCTAGCGCTCCCAAATATTAGAAATATAAGATACATTATAATAAGATACATCTTTATTGAAATAGGAAACCTAATATTCATATCTGTTAGTTAATAAAATAATAACAACATACATTTTGATATTTATATAATATATTTTTTTTCAAATCAACTCAAGCGCAATAAATTAAATTAAATTAACACAAGCGCTATTCAAAATTTTCATTTGGAGCAGTCATACATTCAAAATTCACAAAAAAACTTGTAGATAGATACAATGTATAATCAATTATTATAAAAGTGCGAATATTTGTTTATTATTGTTACAGATTGCTTAGTCATATCTACCGATAAAAAATAGTGGAACCATATAATTGAAAATAATATGTTAACTTATACAATTGGAGTTTCTAACACTATCACAATACCTAATAATTCATACTTTTTATTTTCAACAAATTCTTAATGGAGTTTTGAAATTTTCTAAACTGGGCAGTTTCTTTAGGTAATTCTTCCGGTAATTCATTGAATTTCTGGAAACCTTTAAAAGATAATGAATTCATGGTACTTCTGAAAGCCGTTCTGTTTATATGTATGTTGTTTGAATTTCTAGTGTTGTACGTATCAATGTCTTTATTCAGGTTGATGTACTGTTTGAAATATTCAGGTGCCATATCATTCACAATCTTGAATACTAGAATCATTGTGAAATAGTATAGTCTACTTTCAACTGTTATCCAATTTAAACAATCTTTCATATTTCTTATAGGAGTAAGACGACTAGTTTTCAAGATCATCCTCATCCCTCGATTTTGTAGTTTTTGCAGTATATTTAATTTATTGAAGTTGAATAAATATAATATAGATGAACAATAATCAAAGTGCGGTTGGATGATAGTATTGTAAACTGTAAGTTTAGACTGAGATACACCTGATATGATCTCGTATCCCAATGAGAAATGAGATATTGAATCAGCAGGCGGTCGAAATAAATATAAGTCCTGGTGCATAATAGTATATTATGTAACAAGTGTTATAAAGGTCCTTTTAGTAACGAGTATTTTAAGCACGGGCAAAGCATAGCGGAGCGAGTGTTTGATAAACGAGTGTCTAGAAGAGTTTATAAACGCGTTACATACTATGCTTTTTCTACGAACTCCGAAAATTACATTAACATTCCTGCTATTCCTACTAACCTACAAAATAATTCGAACGGAATTGGAATTGAGAACATAATACATGCAACTGCATGCAACCAGCGAGACACGTATAATTGATGTTGGTGTGTCCAGTCCATTGCTTACTAACGTTCATTGTAATGCTTAGCGCATAATAAATGGATAGTTCTCAAAGATATGGATGCTTCATTTTTACACTTCTTGGAGATATGCAAGTAC